ACTGGGCGATTCATAATGGCCCAAAATAAACTGCATTACCCAGGAGGCACTACATGACGCTGTGTTCCTGTTCTTGTCTGCTTGCTTCTCTCTGACAGCAGTTAGTCTAAGTAACACGAAGAGAAAGTATCCAGGGATTTCACTAGCAGAGCTGGGCAGCTCAGTACGCAAGGCACACAGGGGCCCGTCCAGTCTCACAAGGTTTACTTAAAACTCTTGTATGGTATTGTGAAGACTGGACAAGTCTTGGACCAGTCAGTGTTGTATTATTTTCTACACTTTATATACATTCTTGGTATGTCTATCTATCTGCATGTCCACATCATGGCTTCACCTTGCAAAGAATTGCCAGCGCATGAAAAAAAAACCTAATTGTGAAACTTCATAAAGATGGAAAAAGGAAGATTGGTGACCAGCTGTGGTGGCTGTGCCTCAGGTGGTAGAGTGGGTTGTCCACCAATCACAAGGTTGCCGGCTCCATCCCCGACCCTCCACAGTCGAAGTGTCCTTGGCAGCTCTGTCGCCATTGGTGGATGAATGTGATCTACTCTCAAAAAATGGACATCGCTTTGGATAAAAGCGTCTGCTAAGTGAAATTGTAAATAGTAATTGTAAAAATTTGCTAAAACACAGAACAAGCCATAGTACCACTAATCAGAGCTGCAGTGGTTTTCCTTTCAAACTAAAATGACCCAATGGAAAGAGTGCCAGTTGCACAATCTACCTCTAAAAAACAGACGGCAGCAGCTTCAGAACTGCTCCAGCAGTTATCAGAGGAAATCAAAGTCTCTATAGCAGCTCAGACAGTGCTGAAGGACAATACATGAAGTCAATGCTTGTTCTTTACCACAAAACCGCAACATGAAACCGTCATAAAGAACATGAAAAGGAGCCACTGAGTTCAAGATACATTCATTTGGCTTAGATGGAGTCTCGCCCAACCAGTACTACCACAGTGAATGCATAGTCCTGACAGTGTGATGATTCGGGGCTGTGTGAGAGCAAAACTACACAACATTTATGGATAGCAGCAGTGAATCTTTGTGGATATACCAAAATACTGGCTGACAAGATGACTACCAGTCTGCAGACGCTTGGTAGAAGAGGAACATTCCAGCATGATAGCAACCCATGAGTTTCTACAGAAGAAAAAAGTGAAAACTTAGACCTGGATAAATATGTAGCCTGATTTAAATCCAGTCGAACACCTTTAAGTTGAGCAACACAACCTCTAAGGCAAAGAGCAGCTGAAAAAACAGTCTCTGAAGAATGGAAAAACATCCCTACGAAAAGTTAGTATCCTCCATGCTGAGAGGTAATGAGTCTGTCACCAAAAATAAAGGTGGACACATGAGGCACTAAGAAAAATAAAAGACTAGAATCTCACTAATGAGAGGTGAACTGACCTTTGCTGCACTGAGTTCCTGCTGCGAGGCCTGCTTTTTTAGTATAGCAAATATAGACTGTGGGTTTTTAACTTTACATAAAAGCAGGTACCCTACTGTTCAGTGTGTGTAGAAGTAATGCAATCGCTGTGATACGATTTTTGTGTCACCTTACGATAACAGTGAATGTGTGAGTCGTTTGACATTAAATGAAACCACACGAGGCGGCGCTCACGTCTGCGGTGCTGCAGCTAATGGACGGATGATGTAAGCATTACAAACATCTCATCTTTTATTAATTGTAGAAATTCATAATGTAATAGGCAATTAATGATTTGCTGATGCCAGCCGATACACATGCACTCACGTTTTAACCCGCTGTAAAAGCTGCGGTCACTTAGCTGCGAGTGCAAATAAATAGCTGTGAACAGTGTGTAACCGAACGAGCACGGCGAGGCAAACCAGTGGTACAGATAGGAATTTTAAAATGAGGGAAAAGATGTTAAAGATTGAGAAAGTCTGACCGCAGGCGGATTTTGGGCTGTTTAACCCGTAAATTAGAATTTATAGAGCTTATATCTACAATGATGGAGTCTAACAAACCTCTCCTACTATCTCTGTTAGTCATAAAAATGAGAAATAAACTGGTGAAACCTGCCTCAACTAGGACAGCGTTATGTTCGCCAAAATACAGTGTCTATACAAGCATAAAATTAGAATAGACGAGGGTTTAGGTGTCATATTGGCCCCGATTACAAACACAGGCCTGCTTTGTTGAGGCAGCATCTGAGCCTCTTTCAAAACCAGGAAAAATCCAGAGTGGGAATCTGACTATTGTTCTCAGTGCATTGAGTCCCCATGGTGTGTGGCGACTCACGCATTCATTAGCACAGGGCCTCGTGGAAAAAACAAAAAAAAAACTGTGTTCTAAAAGTAAAATTATGTACAGTGACATCCAGAGTGCAAGCAGTTTTCTGTATCGCCTGTGGGGGTTTACAGCGCGGGGGGAGGCGGCGAGGAGGGTCCTTCAGGAGCTTCTCTGTAGCACAATAACAAACTGCAGTGTTCACACACTGAGGGCTGTTGTTGCTGTGATTTTAATTCCCCGGGTGACAGCCTGCAGGCGTTTCTGTTTAACAGCTAGATGATTAAAGCAAGAGGCCAGGTGGAAGGTTTTGATAGTCTACCTCTCAGCGCAGATTGCTAAGCTGGAGTGAGAATACTCCTGCTTACACTTAAGCCCTCGGGCTTTCTTAGAAGATGCCGTGTTGTTGTGGTCTTACGGACAGAGTTTGGGCTAAAGTTAGAACAGCTTTGGATATTTTGCACGAGATGCTTGATGGTTGAAACCGGACACGATTGAATTTAAAAACATGCGTGCGGTGACGTATTCGTTCATGCAGGAATTTGATTTTAACAAAACTTGACTCATAATCTGATTCCAGCTGGAGGTTTTGTTAAGTCAGTTAAATCTAATGTAATTAGCAGAGGTTTTTTAAATTGTTTTAATTTGATTAAGTCATTAATATTTAACATTGTAAATAAATACTAAAGACTTGACGCTGAGTTTTCAGGGACTGACTTGACTGTACTCTTTTATTGTTTTCTCACTGTATTATGTATAAATGTCCAAATTTTGTCAATGGGAAATGTGTAAAAAAAAAAAAAAAATTTTAAAAAGTGAATATTTTCTGCTGTCTTTGCTCCTCAATGACACAAACGGAATATTTTTGGGGGTGTGAACAAATCAAGACATTTAAGGATGTCACGTTGAACAATTCTACAGCCCCAACAACTAATTGATTAATCAAGAAAATATAAGTATATTAATTAACAATGAAAATAATCGGTAATTTCATTCCTGGTACAAAGAAACTCACCATAAACAAGTCACTATAACTTGATTATAAACTAGTTTTTGGTATATTTTAACCTGTTTCAAAGTACAACTCATCTAGTTGGCTGATCCTAACGGGTGGATCCTCTGAGTGAAGTAACCATGATTAATAAGTCAGGCTCAAAAGGTACAAAGAAAAATCATTAGAAGTTCCAAACCTGACTTGTAATTAGCTTAAAATTGGATGTAGATGAAGAATATTAAGTAAATATTAATTTAATTGCACTTTAAAGAGTAGTAAAGACATGCATATAATTACATTTCAGCGACAGGAACCATCATTTACTAATTGCGCAACAACCTGAACACAATGTGTCCGCTCAAATACCATGGTTGGACAATCTAGAAGTATAATAATAGGTTTTTTGACTTTTCTTTCCCTCATTTTGCATTAATCAGTCCACAAATACATTAACAATAAGGCAATGTAGACAGAAAAACAAATCAACTACAGTTCAGATCTTAGATTTACATTTTAAAGCCCTTTTTTTTAAGAACAATTAGCTAAACATTTGCTTTTTTTTTTGCATCTCTTTGTTTTATATCATTGTAAACTGAACATATGAGGGTTTCTTGCACATTTTCCACATTTTTATCAGTGAACAGTTAATAAGCAAATCCCAGAAACAATCAACAGATGCATCAATAATCAGTTGTTGCAGCCATATTTAAAAATAAAATCCAATACACACTGTAAATCTGCTCTTCCCTGCTGGACATCAGTACACTTTCCTTCCACAACCAGCCAGCATCGCTCTACATGTAGCCACAACATGTGATCCGAGACACAATCTCCCCGCACAATCTTCACCTCTTTTTTTTTTTCTTTTTTCCAAGCAGGTAAAGAAAAAAAAACTGCCCTCCATCTACTCCATCCTTCACAGCACTCCAACCGCTGTTGTCTCTTAGCAACGCCGGCAGGCAAATCAATGGAGGGGAAAGGAGAGAGGCAGGGAGATAAATGAGGGAGTTGAGAGGACAAAAGGGGAGGAAGAAGTGGAGAGAAGTGTCCGAGGAGGGCAGATGGGTGTCAAGTGTATAAAAGAAAAGGAGACGGGAGAAGAGGAGGAGGAGGAGGAGGAAGAAGGTGGAGATGTGGGGAGATGTAGGGACGGAGGAGAGGAAATGAAATAAAACAAGAAAATAGGCCCACAGGGGGAGGAAGATAGTGGGGAAGGAGGATGGAGCACAGAAAGTAGGGAGAGCATGCGTAAATGTCAAGCTCAGTGCATTTAATGTCATTTGGGATAAAAATGTCAGAACGATAAAGCAGACTTCATTTTGAGTGATAGAGGCGCGTGTTGTCTGCAGCCTGGCTACATTTCTACAAGTTAGAAACATTAAAAAAAGCTGCAAGAAGTAGCAGTGAAGAACTCCAAAGCAATGCAACTTCACTCCTCATACTGTGATTTTTTTAAAGTGTGAGAAAAACCTGCAAGATGAAAGTAAATGAAGCAAAGTGCATGAAATCTGTGCTGTCTAGGTGATGCACATGAGAGGAAAAGCGACAGTCAGGCAGGTCAAGGACTACAACGGATGTGTGGATGGACACGGGGAGATGCAAAGAGCCGATGGCCTCCGACACTGGAGGAGGAGGAGGAGGAGGAGGAGGATGCTGCTGCCGCCTCCTCATCATCACTACCACCGCAAAAGAGCTGTGTTTGTGTACTCGGTGCAGACTGTTTGGGTGCATGGAAATGGTGCTTTCAAATGCTCACCTTGCTTTGTGAAAGCCCGGATCAGCTCCAGCAGCCAGCCGGTCCTCTCCAGGCTCACTGCTGCTGCTGCTGCTGCTGCTGCTTTCAGGCGTGTAGCAGCTCTCGTAGCATGCAGTCACGTTGTCTGAATCTAAATGTGTGTTTCTCCCCCCTCACACTCTGGATACAAAGCCAAACAAGCAAAGGAATGTGCAATTAGATCTCAGCTCTGGGGCGACAAAAATAGCAAATAAAAAAAATAAACAAAAAAAAATTGCGTTAGCGGTTTGAGCCTAGCTCTGCACAAAAAAAAGACAAAAAAAAAAGAAGGTACCAGATGCCGAGGAGGCTGCTGCTGCTAACCCGCTCGCTCACTCACAAACGAGCGCTGATGAGGCGACGTCCGCGGCGAGCAGGAGACCGAGGATCTGCTGCCCAGGACGGCCCTCACAGACGAGGCAGGAGGAGCAGGAGGCGGCGTCGGCTGGTGTCTTCCTGGGAGGGACGGTCCTCGCAGACCCCGGCGGACACCGCTGTCAAGCCGAGGCCGCGCACAGCGACACGTTCCTGTTCCACCGTTTCACAATGAAGCGCACCGTGAGCGTTTAGTTCTCATGCCCATAAAAAACATCCACCCACCTTGAAAGTATTCTCATTTTATTGCCTTAAACATTGGGTCTTAGTGGTTTTAATCAGGATTTTTGACTAGAATATACAACAACAAAAAATGTCTTTCTGAAACTGAGAACAGATTTCAACAAATCAATTTATTAACGATGTTAAATGTGAGTTATGTGCACCGCCATCAACATGTGGACACTAAACGCATCTCCACATCATGATGCTGCCACCACCATGCTTCTCAGTGAGAATAGTGTGCCCACCTCTTCATCATTACTACAAAATACCCCCAAAATCCACTCATTGTAGACTCTACAAAGCAAGATTTCTACGAATTAATGTCAGTTAATTAAAAATACAGAATGTAAAAGTAGATCCTGTTTATTGTTTATTTAACACTGAATCATGGGCTATTTATTTAAGCTTTTTAAACTACATTTTTTAAAAAGTCTCTTTCATGTCAAAGTGAAAAATTTCAACAAAGTAATTTTAATTTATTAACAATATTAAATGTGAAATATTAATATATTGAAATATTAAATGGAGTCTATCCCAGCCGACTTAGGGCGAAGGG